TTGTTACCTGTTCTCAAGGAAGATTTTGAACAGGTCTCTCTCTCTCTCTCTCTCTCTCTCACACACACACACCCAAATATAAAGAAATATAAAATTCAGGGGCTATTTATTTATTTATTTATTGCCTGGGATGTAAAAATGGAAAGGATCTGAGTCCCCAATTCAGAGGTGATAATGAGACACAACTGGTAGCAATTATTACGGATCTCCCCGGCCCCCTTGTATATATTTTATGATAATGGGTCATTGTCAGCTCTATTTTAGTTTTCAAGGGCAGGAGGGAGAGGGAAATCTGGGAAAGCAGGAAACCATTATAAGAAAGCATGTAATGGCCTCCGTCCTGTAGATTTGGAAATGCCCACGTTTCCCCCCCCCTCTCCCCCGTTGAGAAATGCAAATTGGTTGCAAAATGGTTGCGAAGATGGCGGCCATCTTGGAGCGATGCCATAAACAGCGGGGAGAACTCAACGTATGACTGCTAGTGTCCAAGTCACGATGGTCGCAAAGCGGGCTGGTCCTACGACAGTCCTGATGTCGAGGACTAGGGGAGACATGATAGCAGTCTTCCAATATCTCAGGGGTTGCCACAAAGAAGAGGGAATCAAACTGTTCTCCAAGGCACCTGAGGGCAGAACAAGAAGCAATGGGTGGAAACTAATCAAGGAGAGAAGCAATGTAGAACTGAGGAGAAATTTCCTGACAGTTCGAACAATGAATCAGTGGAACCGAAGTTGCCTCCAGAAGTTGTGAATGCCACAACACTGGAAGCCTTTAAGAAGATGTTGGATAACCATTTGTCTGAAATGATATAGGGTTTCCTGCCTAGGCAGGGGGTTGGACTAGAAGACCTCCAAGGGCCCTTCCAACTTTGCTATTGTATTATAATCTTTTGGGAAGCTGTTGTTAAGCAAAGCCAGTGGTCGTAAAACCATGGTTGTTAAGTGAATATTGTGGTTCCTAAGCAGCGTCGGGTTCCTAACCGATTAAGACCAGTTCGCTGAGAGGATGTTTTATGCGCACGCTTCTCATTTCGCTCACGCACGCCCTCTGGCCACACATTGCTGCGCATGCGCAGTTGACTGAAAACTGTTCTACATGCCGGCAACGGCAGAAGAACTGATAGGAACCCACCACGGTTACTAAGCGAGTACAATATTCACTTAACAACCATGGTTTTACGACCACTGGAGAATAGTTTGACTCCCTCTTCTTTGTGGCAACCCCTAAGATATTGGAAGACTGCTATCATGTCTCCCCTAGTCCTTCTTTCCATTAAGCTTGCTGCCTAAGCTTGGTTGTGTTACAGGTGTTATGTCTACCTTATATGCAGCTTTATCATTCCTCTCTAATAAGATGAGTTTGCACAGTGATGGCTTGTAGTGGGCTTACTTACATAGAATATCCCCGTAAGTGGTGAGGACAGCTCACCCTGCAACCTCAGCGAGGTTGGAGAAGCTCCCAGGACAAAGCGAGACAGTCTTCACCCGTAAGTGGCAAATGTTCACAGCTACCCAACAGACTTAACCTGCTGTAGTATGTGTTGTTACGGTTCTCATCTTATTACGTCAGGGTAATGATGATGTAATGCTGTAATACTGTA